ACAACTGTGAGTATAGTGGGTTTCAGAGAGGTCTGCGAGTTCTAGCGAATTATTGAAACTGAAGATGGTTTGGGGACCCCCATGACCTTGTAGTTTTGCCAGAAATGAGGGTGGTCTGATGAAAGGCTATTTCCTCAACCTTCTCAGTTTGGCTAAAACTGGGCAGTGTGTGTGTGTGTGTGTGTGTGCACGCGCGTGTGCGTGTGTGTAGAACAACTCTGGCACAGGGTTCTTCTAATTAGAACAGACTTTAATATATTAGCAAGTCTTAGACATTTTTGCCTTGCTTCTTTTATGCAACATGCCGACTGTGAGGCTTTTTCCACTGGACTTTGTGTCCCAAACCAAACTCTGGCTCTGTATGTTTGTAATTTTTATCCCAGTGTGTTTTGTACCCACCCATAGTCCCTGCCAGTCTGTGTATACTTTGCCTGCAACTCTGGTTCAAGAAAGAAAGTGAACATGCTGAAGTGATTTTTCCCTTCTCAGATGTGGGACCTCGTAAATCACATTGACAAGAAATGTGATGATGGTCTCTTTCTGGTCTTGAGGAGATCGGATGAGGAGAGGCATGTAGGCTCTAGCACGGTTTTGTCATTTTTCCCTGTGGTAGCACAACAAGAAGGATTCCAGCAGGCCAGCTCCTCAGCCCTAACCACATAATTCTCTATTTGAATGTTCCTGCAATGAAAACGCAGAGACACCCATGGTGTCACTGGGGCAGTACTTGCCTCTGAACTCCTGGCAGTTAACAATGAACTTGTCAGCGTCTCCCTTTTGTTCCCTTGCAAGCAGGCTCCGCATCATTTTTATCCCCTGGTTGAGCATATGGATCAATCCTTTGTGCGTGTTCCGTGGTACTGTGTGTATTTGCAGAAGCTGTCTGGCTTTCTCCCTGGCAGGCTTTTGTGTTGGGCAGTAGTTCTGCAAATGGGAAAAGAACTATGCAAGATTCTCCCATGTCTCCCCACTGAATTCTAAGGCAGTCAAAGAAGATAGTGGTTTTCTGACCTGGTACTTGGTTTTGGTTATTTTAATTCTTAGATACATGCCATGTAAAACTTAAATTAGTTATAAAATTATTTTTAAGGGGCGCCTGGGTGGCTCAGTGGGTTAAAGCCTCTGCCTTCGGCTCAGGTCATGATCCCAGGGTCCTGGGATCGAGCCCCACATCAGTCTCTCTGCTCAGCAGGGAACCTGCTTCCTCCTCTCTCTCTCTGCCTGTCTCGCTGCCTACCTGTGATCTCTATCTGTCAAATAAATAAATAAAAATCTTTAAAAAAAATTATTTTTAAGAATTGGTATTTTGCCATTGTGGTTGACAGAGGGGAGGAGACACAAATGGCAATGTGGACAAGTAGAAGAAGGAGTATCTATACATGTTTTAATTCCTACAAAGCTTGATGTGCTTGAATGTTATGTGTTTCATTTTCCAATCATACTTTATTTAAAAAGAGCCAATCTGGTTTGGCTGAATTCCTGCCTTGAGGCACTTTGCATGCCTCCATGCACAAAGGTAGAGGGATTAGGCATCAATTAACTGCTCAGGAAACTTTTGTCTATGGAGTATCAGTAGTAAAATAAATAAATAAATAAATAAAATTCCAAAATGATTCAGAATGTACTCATGTGTCATGGTTTATATAGTTCCTCTAAGAGATCCCAAAAGTACAGATGTATAAAGAAAAAGGTAGAGTGGATCTTGCTTTGCTAATGCTAGAGGAGTCATTGTGGTTGAGAGTGACCCCTAATACTGTTAAAATTTAGTATATCATATGAAGGCTCATTTTCACCCAACTTATTTAGGAATATGTCTATCTTATAAAGGAAATTTGTCTTTTTATTTAATTTCTGTATTGGGAAATAGATTTTATTGCATCCCATATATAGAGTTTACTTATTCTGGTTTTAAAAGAAATGTTCAATGCAACAATTCATGCAACCCCAGAGGTTTTTCTTTCTTCCCCTCCAACTTGAAATATTAAATTAAAATACTAATTAATAAATATTAATGCAAAAGTAATATTAGTAAAATGCTTGAAATACTAAAAAATGAGTTAAATTTCCTACCATGATAGAAATCAGTATAAAACTACTTAGAAAATTCTCCACATTTTGACATATTACTATAGGAGTCCCTGGGTGGGATTTAGGATATCCACAAATGAAATTATATAGAATATTGTGTATGAGCATATGTGTATGTGAGGGAGAGATGACCCATTGCTTTGGCTCTTAGAGGGTTCTTAGAGGGTTTAAACACCACTCTGAGTTTAGATGTTGGGCAGAGGGGATGCCATAACATTTTTGCGCCTACTCAGTCTAAGATATATGTACAACCAGAGCTGTATGTCGATCCTTTTCACTTTAGGGTCCTATTTCCAGAATTATAATACATGTCTCAGTTTGGTCATAGGGACACAAGGTAATACCTGGGGCTATCTCAGCCCTATTGTTATCACCTCTTTTAACTTATTAGTGGACTTTCTGGATTCTCTGGAGGTTGCACTTGGAAGTTGAGCAGTGTCTTCTCTCCTTTTTTTTTTTTAAAGAACATTTTATTATTTATTTACTTAAATTTTTTATTTTATTTAAATTCAGTTACTTAGCTTACAGTGTATTACTAATTTCAGAGGTACAGTTCAGTGATTCATCAGTAGCATATAATACCCAGTGCTCATTACATCATGTGCTGTCCTTGATGCCCATCACTCAGTTACCCCAGCCCCTACCCACTCCCCGTCTAGCAACCCTCAGTTTGTTTTCTATAGTTAAGAGTCTCATGGTTTGTCTCCTTCTATGTTTTTGTCTTATTTTATTTTTCCCTCCCTTCCCCTATGATCTTCTGTTTTGTTTCTTAAATTCCACATATGAGTGATATCATGTAATTGTCTTTCCCTCATTGATTTATTTCACTTAGTGTAATACCCTCTAGTTCCATCCATGTCATTAAATGGTTAAGATTGCATTTTTTTGGTGGCTGTGTAATATTCCATTGTGTGTGTGTATGTGTGTGTGTGTGTATGTGTATACACCATTTTTTTTAATCCATTCATCTGTTGGTTGACATCTGGGCTCTTTCCATAGTTAGGCTATTGTGGACGTTGCAGCTATGAATATTGGGGTACATGTGCCCCTTCTTTTCACTACATCTGTATCTTTGGGGTAAATACCCAGTAGTGCAATTGCCAGGTCATGGGGAAAGTCTGTTTTTCACTTTTCGAGGAACCTCCATACTGTTTTCCAGAGTGGCTGAACAAGCTTGCATTACCACCAGCAGTGTAAGAGGGTTCCCCTTTCTCTGCATCCTGGTCAGCATTTGTTGTTTCCTGTCTTGTTAATTTTAGCCATTTTGACTGGTGTAGTGTGGTAGTTTTGTAGTTTTGATTTGTATTTCCCTGATGCCTAGTGATGTTGAGCATTTTTATATGCTTCTGTTGGCCATTTGTATGACTTCTTTGGAGAAATATCTGTTCATGTTTTCTGCCCATTTCTTGACTGGATTATTTGTTTTATGGGTGTGGAGTTTGATAAGTTCTTTGTAGATCTTGGATACTAGCCTGATAAGACATTTACAAATAACTTCTCCATTTCTGTAGGTTGTCTTTTGGTTTTGTGGCCTATTTCCTTTGATGTGCAAAAGCTTTTTATCTAGATGAAGTCCCAAAACTTCATTATTGCTTTTGTCTCCCTTGCCTTTGGAGACCTGTTTAGCAAGAAGGTGCTGCAGCTGAGGTCACAGAGGCTGCTGTCTATGTTCTCCCCTAGGATTTTGATGGATTCCTGTCTCACATTTAGGTCTTTCATCTATTTTGAGCGTCTTTTTTTGTATGGTTCAAAAAGTGGTCCAGTTTCATTCTTCTGCATTTGGCTGTCCAATTTTCCCAACACCATTTGTTAAAGAGGCTGTTTTTTTCCCATTGGATATTCTTTCCTGTGTTGTCAAAGATTAGTTGACTATAGAGTTGAGTGTCCATTTCTAGGTTCTCTAGTCTGTTCCATTGATCTATGTGTCTGTTTTTGTGCTGGTACCATACTGTCTTGATGATTACAGCTTTGTAATATAGCTTGAAGTCCAGAACTGTGATGCCACCAACTTTGGTTTTCTTTTTCAACATTCCTCTGGCTATTTGGGATCTTTTCATATAAATTTTAGGATTAATTGTTCTAGATCTGTGAAAAAAGTTGATGGTATTTTGAGAGGGATTGCTTTGAATATATAGATTGCTCTAGGTAACATAACATTTTCACAATATTTGTTTTCCCAATCCATGAATGTGGAGTGTTTTTCTATCTCTTTGTGTCTTCCTCAATTTTTTCATGAGTGTTCTATAATTTTCAGAGTACAAATCCTTTTCCTCTTTGGTGAGGTTTATTCCTAGATATCTCATGGTTTTTGCTGCAATTGTAAATGGGATAGATACCTTAGTTTTTCTTTCTTCTGTTTCATTGTTAGTGTATGTAATGCAACTGATTTCTGTGCTTTGATTTTATATCCTGTCACATTGCTGAATTCCTGTATGAGATCCGACAATTTTTGGGTAGAGCTTTTTGTGTTTTCCACACAGCATATCACGTCATCTGTGGAGAGTGAGAGCCAAGCAGTGTCTTTAATGAATATAATTCTAGGTAATAGGGAAAAACTCTGTGTGTGTATGTGTTTCTTTGTGTATGAAAAGTAGTAGATATTGAAAAAGACATTTATTGAGTAAATGAATGGATGAATAAAACATTCATCAAAATGAATGAATAACCAAATAATTAGAATGATATGTAATTTAACTTCTTGAATGGAAACCCTACTTGGTTAAAAGAGAAAATTGGAAAAGAGCATTGAGAGTTTTTTTTTTTTTTTCCTGTGATCCTCTGCAAGAGAAAGATACCCACACTAGTTGTCAGTGATTTTGTATGTTCACGAAAAAACTTCCCAGAGATATAATTTTTCTCCTTTTTTTTCTTTCCTTTTCTTTCTCTCTCTCTCTCTCTTTTTTTTTAATTAGCTATCCACCTTGATAAAGTCAATTGCAAAATATATTCTGTATGGTCTCTTCTGGATAATTTTGAGTGGATCCAAGGGTATAGCAGCCGGTTTGGTCTCTTCCATGTTGATTTTGAGGATCCTGCTAGACCTCGAGCGCCTTACACATCTGCCAAGGAGTATACCAAGATCATCCAAAACAATGGACTGGAGGAACATCCATAAAAGATGGCTGACCCACATCTCCTGGAGAAGAAGACTCTGGTTTTGGAAAAGAAGTCTACTTTGGTGATCTTTTAGACAATCTCAAATTGCCTTTGTAATAATCTCCTACCAGCTGATCCGTGATTATGAAGTCTGAATACGGAATGCCTGGGGATGTATTTAATGATAGCCTTTACTCTATTTGCATTTGGATCAATGAGGCTTTAAAATAAATAAATAAATAAAAAACCACTGAAATTGATTTTTATATTAAGAAATCAGATAGACTTGAAAACTTCAATTTAAATCCTTAGAATTTTTCTAGAAAAAAATAATGCAAAATTCATAAATATAGTGTGCTCATGATTTGCAGCTCTAATAGCAAGATCGCATATTATAAGAATACTTGTTTATGAGCCTAGCTTTTCTGGTTATGTCAGCTTTGTTTGTTTTGTAGACCCATTTTCATGTGGCCCAAAATTCTTCTACTGTTTAATCTAGTATAAAAAATCAAAATTAAAAGTTAGTCACATTATATAGTTATGCATTCTATTCAACAAAGGGATTAATTGATGGCACGTTTAATAAAATGGATTTGTTGATGTATTTGGCACATATTTTCTCTATGCATGAGCAAGTATATCTTTCTCTTGCCTGATAAATTATTTTTGAAAAATAATATATTAATAAAACAAATTAGACTCTGAATGAAAGAAAAAGTATTTGAGTGGATGTTTAGCAAAAACAGAATTCCTACTCCAGAGTGACACCAAATGAAAGGCAAAATAATAAGTAGGGCATGGTCTCTACTTTTGGGTATTTTTTTAAAGTTTAAGATCTATAACAACATTGATGACACCCAGGAAATATATACATAGCTTGAAAGACCTACATGAGTGTGAGATGTCTGCACATATCTAAGATGTAAATGGGGTTGGATTGGAGTTGAGTATTTTATTGAGCTTCCTCAGTTGGGGTCAGTAATAGATGTAGGGTTTCCTCTGGACGTAATGTGTCTACACCAGAAAACCTTTCACAATCATATTTGGACCCTTACCTCCATATTGGAGTAGCATTTACTCAACATTCATTTGTGTCATGTGTGAAGCTAAGAGATAAATATTATCACCTCCATTTTGCAGACTGAGAAACAGAGGATGCAGTGATGTGAATTTTCCTCAGGTCATATTGTTGGTACTTGTTTCCCAAACCTAGAATTTCTTTGGCATCAGCTCTGTGCTCTAACACTCTGTAGGTCCAGATCTGTGTAGAAATCTTTTCTCCTTCTTTTGAATACAGGAGCAAAAGAACAACAACAGCAAAAGTGTGGGGTTGCCTTATTCAGGAGGAAGTGGGGAAGTATTTTTCCGTGTTCTCATTCTGTTTCCCTGAGGAAATTACCCATACTTTGCCATTCCCTAAGGCCTTTGGCCCTGAGCAGACACTATGTCATTTTTAAAAAGCACTGTGGTCAAATTCTAGATCATTTTCGTGTTCATAATCAGGGAATTATTTGCAGCAAAGAACACTGTCTTGGTACCTTTGGACAGAGTGAGAAAGAAATGGTCGTAGTAGTTCAGTAATCGTGGAGGCACTAGGGAAAATTATATTAAGATTAAAATGGTGTACACAGGAAATTCTATTACATCTTTGCCACTGTTTTGTTATTTTTATTGTTCAGTGAGACATTATCTCACAATTTGTGTTCATTTAAAAAGCACATTTCCAAATCTTATTTCATTCCTCTCCTATCCAGTCTGTCTTTTTCATTTTTACCATGTATCTTACTTACAATTTATGTACCCTCCTTACACTATCTTGCAAGACAACTGAGTTTTCCTTTTAATTAGGATGTTGTTTGGATATTATTTATCCTACTGGGCATATTTACAAGTTTTACAACAATACAAATGAGCACTGTATTTTCGTTACCAAAACCAGAAAATTTATATTCGCGCTGTAAATAAAATGATCTGTCACATTTGGTCTACCAGGTGTGCGATAAGCATCGTGGCTTCTGCAGGCCCGGGATTCCTCACAGACCAGGGGATTTCTGCAGCTCTCAGCTGGGTTTCAAGGGCGAGCTCTTCCTCCCAGAAATGGATCAAACCAAGGGTTCTTCTTCAATTCGACCCGCAAATTAGAATCCTCATGAGTTTCGGTGAAGAAAAAAAGCTCTACCACCCAAGCTCTAACAGCTCCTGTAGTATTTTAATTAATGTTATTTGTAATTGCTTGTATTAGCATTTGAAAACAAGATTGATTGGCTTTTGCCTGTCAAGGAAACAGAACTCCGATTCTTTAAATGGAAAAACAGAAGTCGTTAATTATACTTAAAAATCCATAGATAACTGTACTCAGATGTCTTGAAGGTCATCTGAGGCTTGTAAAGTACATGTTTTATGTCTGTTTTATCTAAGGAGAAACTTGGCTATCACAATGATGGACTGGATCTACTTGTATTTCCTTCTACCTTCCTTCCTTGCTTTATTCTTTCTTTCTTTATTTAGTTTTATTTTAAGAGACTGTGAACACATGTTATTAGCATCCTGGGCATCGCTTCTAAAGAATTCTGGGATTTTATTTTGGAGGGGGGTAGTTTTTATTTTAGGGTAAGTTATTTCTGAATTGCTAAGAACATACAGAAAATAACAGAAGCCCATTTTCATTTTGATGTGTAGGGTTTTAGTTTTATAACTCCTGTGAACACCAGCAGGAAATGTCCACCTAAGCCCTTTATTGAATGAGTAGGTACGAGTTCTCATTAAGAAACCCGTAAACTAAGAAGCTGGTAACCTTGGTATTTGGCAGTGGCCTGCCAGTCAGGCTTTTGTGCTCTGGGAATTTGTGTTCGGCCGTAGCTTTTAATTATTTTTATGAACGAGGGAATAATGAATACATTTGTAATATATTGAAAAAACTCCCCAACACTGACTGACCAAAAAGTAGATTTATATGATAATCCTTAAACACCAATTCTATTGCTCAGTGCTAGGCAGAGAGAAAATAGAATACTGAGCTTCATTACTGAGAGAGCAGAATAAATCAAAGCTGATGGAATTAATACTGTTTAATTACTAGCAATACACCTTACCTGGAGAACACATATTCATCACTGATGACAATATTTTAGGCTCTAGTTGTCCTGGGAGGGATATAGTACTTAGCACAAAGCATGATGAGCCTTAAAGAATGAAATTAGAAGAAAATTTGACATAGAGACACTTTATGGTGGCCTTCATGAAGTGAGAATACACCTTATTAATTGTGGCAGCGGTGAGATGGGGAGATGTTGTAGAAGCACTGGGTTAGGGTCATTGGAAAGAGTGGTCCCTAATGGTGAGAGTTAATGAGTGCTTCTCGTAGAGAGTAAATGTCCTATTGTCTTAGGTTTTCCCAGAGTCTCACCTGACACATGACTGGCTTATGTGACCTTGCCCAAGAGGCTACTGGTAACTGGTATGAGACAAATGTAGTGTAGGTATTAACAATTTGGGCTCTGGAGCTAGTTCACCTGGATTTAAATCCTGGCTCTGACATTACTTACTGAACTTCCCTGTGCCTCAGTTTTTCTACCTGTAACATGGGTTCCTCTTAAAGCTGTTGGGAGACACAAGTAATCTGATAAATGTAACATGCTTAGACAGTTCCCAGAACACAGTAAGGGCACAGTTAGTGTGGGCCATTGTTTTTCACTTTCTGACTCGTTCACACGGATCCTCCAGCAATTTGTCAATTACAGTTTAGGTTTTTCTTACTCTGGTTCTACCTCCATGTCCTGCAGACGTTTCTGCTCTGGTCAGTTGAGATTCACTGTCACTCCGATTTTCTCTCCCTCCAGTTGTTGTGGCAGTGGTTTTCCTTGTGACCTCAATTCTTGTACTTATCTAAGAAGAATGGCTAATTTTCAGTTTGTTTGGCATTTTTCTTGTTAGGAGAGGAGCAGTAACTTCCAAGCTCCTTACATATTGGGCCAGAAACAGAAAATTGCCATTATTTTTGTAATCATTAGAATTGAAGATTTCTAGCAGCCCAATCAGAACGTATTTATTAAACTAAACTGTGTAATAGGTTGTATTTCTATATCTCTGTAGAGATACAGAGCTGCACACAAGACAGTGCTTCTTTCACGGTTGGGTTGGAGGACTAGAATGGAGACATGAAATGATAACAGATGATGCTAGGAGAATTTTCTAGACAGTAGGAGTAGGACGAACTCTCTGCTAGATGAGGGTGGGCAAATATGGCTTCTTGGACAAGGGAAATAATATAATATTAAAAACAGGGTTGCCTGGCTGGCTCAGTTGGAAAAGAATGTGGCTCTTGATCTCAGGGTCCTGAGTTCAAGCCTCATGCTGGGTATAGATTACTTAAAAATAAATAAATATTTTAAACATTAAAAATATTAAAAACAATATGATAATATAAATAATGTAAGTTAAAATATGGAAGTGGAAAACACAAAGCCCTGGGTGTGGAAGGCCGTGCCCAGGCCAGTTCACCTTAGGGAAGGGAGTGAGAAGGTTAGATGTGGACAGTTTGATGTTCTTGGTCTTGGTTTTCTCTTGGAACAAGATGAAGATTTCTGAGCAGGATGGTGAAGATTTAAAAGCAATATTTTGAAAGATGGCAAAAAAACTAAGGTGTAGGAACCAGTTAGAAAACTGCTTGTAGCAGAATATAGTTGATGTGTTAAGGGCTTTATTTAAGGTAGGAAGTGCATATATGAAAAGTTAATATATAATTTTAATTAATGTAAGGAAAGTATACAGGATCTTAAATGCAACATGGTCTCTTGGATCAGATCCTGGAACAGAAAAAGAGATTAGTGGAAAAACTGGGAAATTCACATAAAGTCTTTAGTTTAATTAATGGTGCTTTGCCATTGTTAACTCTTTAGGTGAATAAATAAAGCATGATCAAGTAAGATATTAATGTTAGAGAAAGCTGGGTGAAGAATGTATGAAATACTCTGTACTCTTTTTGCAACTCTTCCAAGTTTAGAACAAATCTAAAATTGT